TGGATCGAGCGAGAGGGGGTGGACCAGTTCGAGTTCGAGTTCGAGTTCGGATCGACAACAATTAGAGCCGGGGGGGTGGACCGGTTCGAGTTCGAGTTCGAGTTCGGATCGACAACAATTAGAGCCGGCCGGGGGTGGACCGGTTCGAGTTCGAGTTCGAGTTCGGATCGACAACAATTAGAGCCGGGGGGGTGGACGAGTTCGAGTTCGAGTTCGGATCGACAACAATTACAGTAAGGAGCCGGGGGGGTGGACCAGTTCGAGTTCGAGTTCGGATCGACAACAATTACAGTAAGGAGCCGGGGGGGTGGACCGGTTCGAGTTCGAGTTCGAGTTCGAGTTCGGATCGACAACAATTAGAGCCGGCCGGGGGGTGGACCAGTTCGAGTTCGAGTTCGAGTTCGGATCGGCGACTAAGGGACTTATAAGGGGGGTGGACCTACAGTTCGAGTTCGAGTTCGGATCAACCCACAACAACAGCAACGAGAACCAACAGCAATGACAACAACCACAACCGCAATCGACCTGTTGAAAGTATCCGCGCTGCGCAGTCTCGTCTTTGCAGCCAACACTTGTTTTATTAGGATCTGGTGTGCTGCTTGGGGGGGCGCTGCGCCCCCCCCCAACCCCCCCGCGCCACGAAATCTGCACTTCATCTCCAAAAACCGCGCCTGCCACGAAATCAACATTTTAGTGTGAACTCCCTGCGGCAAAAAACCTTCTAACCAACCAACCAACATCCACCTGCCAGCGGCGCCAGCAGCAACCAACCAACTGACCACAACGTAGCATCCCTTTTCTGGGCCATCCGAGGGTGAAATTTAGAATAGGAAGAAGCCTATTGCAACGTGGCATGCCTTTTGTGGGCTACACGAAGATACAGTTTAGAGTAGGAAAAGGCCATTGCAACGTAGCATTCCTTTCGTGGGCAATTAGAAGGTAAAATTTAGAAAAGGAAGAAACCATTGACACGTAGCATGCCTTTTGTGGGCCACCCGAGGGTAAAATTTAGAGCAGGAAGGAGCCATTACAACCAAGCATTTCTTTTTGTGAGCCACCCGATAGTAAATTTTAGAGTAGGAAGGAGCCATTACAACGATTTACAACGTAGCATTCCTTTGATGGGCCATTCGAAAGTAAAATCGTAGCATGCCTTTTGTGGGGTAAAATTTACAGCAGGAAGGAGCCATTATATTACAACGTAGCATTCCTGTTGTGGGCCATTCGAGGGTGAAATTTACAGCAGGAAGGAGCCATTACAACGCAGCATTAGATCGAAATTCGAATCGACGACAATTTTCACACCCCGGGGGGAGAACCAGTTCGAGTTCGAGTTCGAATTCCAATCGACGACAATTTGACGCCCGGAGGGGGGGAAACAGTTCGAGTTCGAGTTCGAATTCGAATTCGAATCGACGACAGCGATTTTGGAGTTCGACTCTTTCGATTCGTCCACCGGGTTAACTTCTATAACAGTTCCAGTTCGAGATCGAGTTCGAGATCGAGTTCGAATTCGAGTTCGGTTCCTTCCATATATCCTTTCAGGGTTGAGTTCATCAATAAGTATAACTGTTTCAGTTCGGGTTCGAGTTCGAGTTCGAGTTCGAGCGGGGCACACTATGTCTAAAAAAGCAGAAGCGTCAAAAGACCCATCACCAGAAAGCTTCAGTCTGCTCGCATCCAGATTCCTGTAAGGTGTGTGCTCCGGAAGCTTGTCGTTGTCCAATGGAACGCTGTGTCCAATAAACATAAAACTGTATGGGCCTGCCACTCCCAATTTTGTCAGACAATCAGAAAGCTCGCCCAAACGTGCACTCAATTGGGGAAAACGTCGGCCACTTTTCAACACTTCGAAAGAGGAAGTGCCAGAGCCGTCAGCCACCAAAATGCCCATCAACTTGTGATAGATCGTTCTATGGACCTTAGAAGGGCATCTCTGAAGCAACTGCTTGTTTGGGAAAGTACCCAAGCCGCCATGCCAGTAGTTCAAAGCCATCACCATCACACGCAATACACGCTTCAGATGGCACCGTCGACGTTGGCGGAGGGAGCAGTGCTCAGGCATCCTCCGGAATATCCCTTCCTCAGGGATCGGCAGAGGGAAAAGTGGCGATGTCGAAGTCTGTGAGCTCCGAGGCAAATGCAAAGTTGACAACAAAAATGCAGCAAATGGAGATCTAGTTCTCAGAATTGAAATCACCAAACCAGAACACCACTTCCAAAAAGAAAAGCTCTCTGGAACTGAGGAGGCGGAACATAGCGCAGACGAAGCTGTTGCTTTCACCCCACTCAAAACATCATCTTTTTGAATTCCATGCATAGAGGGATCACCACCCAAACTCATGCCTCCTCCTGCGCCTGCTTCGGGCGCTTTGGAAATCTCGGCTTCCTTTTTGGCGATGGGGACTCCTCGGTGGCGGGCTTCTCTGTTCCTTTCTTCTTCAGGACCTCTGGTTTCTTCGTGGCATGGAGCTCCATGTCCTTGATGTATCCCAGAGTAATCGCCGTCCAGGAAGGAGGAATCAGAGGACTGAAAGGTCTTCCTGTGCTCATAATCGGTGCGGTTCTTTCTTGAAAGAGGACAATCGGGGGCTCCTCCAGAAGACTGATCAAGTATGCCACTGTCCAGTCTCCCCCGTCGTAGTTGGCCTGCTCGACCGACATGGCTAGGAGGGCGATGATATCCTTTGCCCCCTGAAAGTCCTGTTGTGCGATGGCATCGACTGCATGTGCCAGAATCCACTGAATAAGACCGAGGGACCGCTGGTTCTTGTACCCACCTGACTCCTTCAAATAACGAAGCATAGACACATCTCCCAACTCCTCTTCGGTCTTTGGGACAATCTTCCCTGGATGCAGTCTCCTGTGAATCTGCTGCATCAGCATCAGGAAGAAATGGCCATTCCTCATCGCCAGTTCGGCCTGGAGCTTCTCCCTCTTCTGAACCCCTTTCATAGCCGAGGAGGACTGAGAGCCTGAGCTGAAATCTAGAAGGCTGTCTCCCTGCGCTGAAATGTGTGCCACCAGTGCTGTCAGAGCCGACGACTGCTTGGAGAGAGCATTGACAATGACCCCCGACGACTGGTTCAGATCTAAGTCTCCCAAAAGCATCTCGTTGGGTTCCTCGCCGCCTGCGGCAGCAGGCTGAGGAGAGACAATCGTAGTTGGCTGTCTTGTTCTGGGAGGAGGACCTGTACGCCGGAGCTGATCGGAGATGGATAGAGGTCGGCCATCCCCGGAACCAAGGCCGTCTGACACTGCCGGCAACCTGGCGCCTCTGCCAGCTGCGGGTGCGACAGCACCTGCGGCAGAGGCCGTCTTCCCGATACTCTGCGTCTTCTCTAGCGCATCTTGACGGCTGCTTAGCAATTGTAGTTAGGATGTGATAGCACTGAGCTGGTCCATGATTGCTGAATTCGTGATCCTCTTTCCAGGGCCGGATGCCCTCTTTGCAGCTGCCTTCGGAGGAGGTGCACCTTCTGGCTCGTCTCGAGCCGAATAAAAAGCCGACGGCCCCTCGCCTCGATCTTTGAGCCAGGCCTCAACCAAACCAAGCAAAGTTTCACTGTCCGGCAGGCAACTAGGATGGTCGGGATGAAAAGGGACCACATCTGCATCAGAGTCTGTCACCGGATCATATACCCGGCATTGAGACAAAACCTGGTCCGTGGCATCGAAAACGAGGACGGCACCATTCATGCCCAATTCATATGGGGCACCATCTTCACCTTCATCTAGCAAAGGCACATCAAAAACGCCACCTATACCCAGCCACTGAGGTGCAGCACTGGACAAGTTGCCTTCCACAATGGCAGAATCATCAAGAATGCCACATGGAGTGCACAAAAGCATCCCTCCAGCTCTACCAAGGAGGGGCACAGCAAAAACATCGTGGTGCGCTTCTGCTAAGGGCGGAGCAACACTGACTACCAGAAGCGTGTAGTCAGGGCTCTGGCTTGCAAACTTCACTTCTGAGCGCTGCATTGGTGCAGCTCAGAGGTCAATGCCGTAGGACGAGCAAAAGACCTGCACTTCCGTCAATGATGCAAAACCTTGGTACACTGCTGACTCGTGGATGCTCTGGGAGCTCAAAATCAAACGAAGATCAACCACCTTCCTCACTCGGATAGGCCCTGTGATCCTGGTGGCCCTCACCACAATCCAGTGCACGTCGGACAAAGCGATGGGGTCGGCCTGAGTGTAATCCGAGTGCGTTGCCACTGCACCCCAAGCCCAGAAACCTGCTCGCCACGCTCGAATGACCCGGTCACGGGGGTTCCCTGCTGCAGACGAAAGCTTAGATGAAGCAAATGTCAAAAGCTCTGGTGGAAACGGTGCCGGTCCGTCCTCGAAAATGCGACGGGGATCAAGGCTCACTTGGAATGGCAACTCTTGAGCTTTCTCAACACACTCCCAATCCGGAAAAGAGACAAGAGAAGGGGGCTGTGACGACTGTCCCAAACCTGAATGCTCGACGGCTAAGGCTAAACGATTCAAAGCAACGATCAAGGCCTCGAAATCTGCCTTAGTCGGAGGTCCGCTCATGCAAATACCTCGAAAGCCTGACTCTTCTTTCCAGTGCAGACTGCCTCACAGCAAAATCCTCACGGTCAAAGGAGGGACAAGCAGGGACAGAGACGGATGCACGGAAATGAAGGAGCAGAAACACCCCGAAGCCAAGGGTGCAAAAGGATCCAAGGCAGAATCCTGTGACAAACCAGGGAGCCACAGAAGGAGAGCAATGAAGCGGGCAAGAGACCTTAGAAGAAAGGTCTGCGAAAAAGGTGAGAGACTCGGCCAGCCACTTCAACCTATCCAGCATGCCCTTGAGAGACAAAAGAAGCAAGGTCAGACTTAAAAGCACAAGAGAGTAAGCTCAGGGCAACTAGTTAGCTTCTAGTAACTGGACGCAGGATAGCTCACGCTAATGATTTGATTCCTAGATCTTTTGGACGCTAGCGTCTCGGATTTCTAGTGGACTTATCGCCCGGACCAAAGGCCTCAGCATCTGGACGGTCTCCACGGATTTGATAAGCCTCGCAAAGAGCTGCCTGAGAGTCCGGTGTTGAATCGCAGATGCAGCTGAATGAGAGGCAGCGTAGCCTCTGCAAAAGCCGATGACATCAGGACATCAGGCACGGACTTGCGCTTGTAGCTCCCGGAAGCGTAGCCTCTGGCACACCTGGAGGCAAAGGAAATGAACACCACTGTGGCTGGTGGTGCAATCACAAAACAACGGCTGGTGTCATGTCCAATGGAAAAACATCACCATCACATTTCAAGCTCAAGCATACTGCGGCACCACACCTCTTCCGTGGGCTTGGTGCCTGTGGCAGTCAACTGCTGTTTGCATCAAGGATCTTTTCGACTTTCCAAGAAAGTCGCACTTTTTGGAAAGGCAGGCCGCACAACTGGGAATCTTCACCTCATGTGTATCGTGCTGGATATGTAAGTTGAGCTCAGACCCTGCCTTTCTCCTCGCCAATCCTCGGTCCGCACACAGCACACCAGCCACATGCATCTTCCTGGGCCACCAGGGTGCTGGCCTGCCCTGAGCTCGCTTCAGGCAAGATATGGCATGCTCCAGCACAGGCACCGCCTGCGAATAAACATACGAAGCTGGGTTTAATTCGGACCAAAAAATGATCTGAAGCACCGTACACAGTATATCTAAGATGCACTCCTCCGGTCACCGATCTAAGGATCCAACCAGGTCCAAGGCCTCTGGATCTGCTTTGGATTCCTGGGAACGTGCGTATTTATGATTATATATGTATGTGCCATCCCAGAAATCTGACCCCAGAAGCCTTAGACAAGAGAAAGCTTCTAAGCCAAGTCTGCTTATTTGTTGAAATCCTACCCTGCAACCTCACTCTTCAAGCTGCACTTTCACCTCACCCTCCACCAGTCTACCAGTTCAATCAGAATCTCCTTGACTAGCCTCTTCCCCAGCTCCAGCACCGCTACGCCCTCCGAGGCCGCATCCGAGCCCGACCTAGACTGATGTGACAGAAGTTGTGCCTATATAGACTGATGTGACTGGCGATGTTCGCCATTGAAAGAAATCATTCTTGAAAGACTTTGGGCCTTATTATTGTCAAACAACACCCAAACAGGCTAAAGAAAATAGGCAGCGCACTTTCAGCAAGTGATGTCAGTGGTTTCTGCCAGCTCCACAGAAGGAAAGAGAAAGCCTTTTCCAACACAAAAGACAATACACCAAGTCCTGCCATATGCCCGCCCCAGAAACAGTCTTGCGCAGTTGCTGGAGTTTTCTGCATGAATGTCCAGCTTCTTCGCCCGCCTCTGCAAAGCTTGAGCTGCAAGTCGAAAGTGGCGCAGTGCATCCTGCACCAGAACGCCAGTGAGAGACGCCCAAGCGATGGCATAATGGAAACCCATCTCGCTGGACGAAGTTTCGATGGAATGGGGAGGTTTCAGTAAAAGAACCTCGTAGCTTTGCCAGCCCCTCTCGTCTTAGTGCTAGCATGTGTTGACCCCTTCAAATTCATGTCTATCTCCTCTCTTTTGATGGGTTCCTATCGTCAAGAGAGCAAGTCAGAGCCATCTCCATTCACCTGCACTTCTACGGCACCAGCCCGACACAAGAGTCCGCCTTCTCGCCGTTGGCCTCTGCCGCATGGCCAATTGAAAGGTGCAGAAGCCCTTCTCGCCTCCGTCGATTGCACGTTCGGGACGGTGCAAGTCTATCAATTAGACGGCGATGTGAGTAAGTAAAGTATCTGCGCTCACATATGTGGCTTTGGTGGGATCCTAAATGTTGATCCAAGCGAAGCCAAACGCATCACTCGCATCATCAACCGTACTGAAGCATTCACTGTGTTCGTTGCAGAAGTCTTGCGCTCCTCGTGCTGTAGCACCCGCCCCAACACATCTGAAGCAAAAGATCTTGCATCAGCGAGAATAGGTCTGAAAAGAATCCTAGGAAAGCTGGCGGTGGTTATATAATCCCAGATCTTTCTGTTTCCACAATATCGTCCCCGATTTTTTACAGATTGCCAAGTTATGGGTCTCCACGCAGGTCTTCTCACTCCTTCTGCGTCCCCTTCCTTCGAGCGCCTGGAGAGCTCCGGCTCAGCAAAGGGCACCTCCGCACGTCTGGTCGCTACGAGCTCGACAGGCAAACTGCTGAGTGATGCTGAGCTACTAGTAGCGTTCTTGCTACTAGTAGCGATGGCCTCCAACCTACTACCGATGGCCTCCGCCTAGTAGTTTCTTGTTACTAGTACTCCTGATAGGGTGGCAGTTCTCGACATGCTCGTGGTAGTTCACCGACATAGAACCCGACATACGGGCCCATGGACTTCAAGAAACGTCCCAGGACATACGACCTGGTCTGGCCAGCCGCCGCGCCTGCATTCCTGGTCTGGTCGAGTTCAACAAGGAGGTGGCCCTCTGCCCACAGCGCACGGCATCGGCCTTGCTAGTTATGTTCCTAGTAGCTTCTTGTTACTAGTAGCAAGGCCAGGAGCTACTGGTAGTGTCCTTGCTCCTAGTAGCGATGCCCTTTGTTACTACCAAGGAGGCAAAATCCCAAAAGTCATGGCAAAGTTTTGTTGAGTGCTTCCTGCCCATGTTATACACCTGTGAGTGTTTGTGTGTCAGGTGAACCTTTACGCCTTCAAAGCATCTTTTCTATATACAGTTATATATATATATATATAATAGAGAGTTCGCCCGTTCAGAACTCTTACTCCACTCCCTGCCAGCGACTGCACTTTGAGAGGTCGACTGCACTCTGACCTACGCAAAAGGTACTTCCTTGTAGATGAGTTGCTGTATACCAACCCCCCTTTGAACAAATCCTTTGCTGAAGTCAAGGACGAGTGAGGCACCTCACCCACCCCGTCTCCTCAACCAGACCTGGCAACGAGTTTCGCCTAGGTGCAAACTGCTCCGTGGCCGCAAAGCTTTCCATCAGCCCCTGCCAGCTCAGGCCAAGCAGGTTGATAGATTCTGCCGGCTAGAAAGGCAGGACTTCCAAGTCTGACCCGTGAAGTTCGCTTTGATTTTTTTGACCAACATGTTTTGCTTTTAGCAAAGTTGGGGGGGAGTCTCTCCACCTCCAGCGCATCGAAGGCCAGCGCCCGAAGAGGTCTGGAGAGCAGGAGCTCAATAGGGCCCCCCCTCCTGCATCAGAGTTGTTGGCTGGTCCGGCGAAAGACCGATTAGGCCCTTACTTGTGTTGGGGGATGCCGGAACGGATGGATCGATTGCACTCAGGTCCATAATTTCACGGGACGAGCGCATGTCATAATAGCCGGCTTCTTTGTTTGAGCTGAGTTGATAGAGAAGTCACCCTACAACGCCTAGGGGCCTAGGGAAAGCTTTCCTGAATCGCCAATCATCTGTTCTTACAAACTAGTGCTGTGCTATATTGTTTATTATTTGAGGATGCTCGAATCTGAGTTGTGCGGGATCTGGACTGACAGTTTCAAGGCATCTGGAACCCACCTGTTGATCCAAATAGTCCACGGTCTGCATGAAAAGCTTCTTGGCCTGCCATGATGAGAGCTGGAGGTGGTAGCTTCCCTCACGCAATCACCACCTCAAGAGAGGAAGAGGGAGACGAGAAAGGAGACGGCAAAGATAACAATATTTCTTCACCCAACCCGGAACTTAGGTTGAAGGCCATCGGGTTGGAGGCCATCGCTATTAGGTTGGAGGCCATTTCTATTAGGATGGGGGCCATCGCTATTAGGTTGGAGGCCATCGCTAGTAAAGGTTGGAGGCCATCGCTATTAGGTTGGAGGCCATCGCTATTAGGTTGGAGGCCATCGCTATTAGGTTGTATTAGGTTGGAGGCCATCGCTAGTAGAATACAGTGCAGATCTTTGGTATTTTCACATGCCTAGCATCGTCCCCATGGGATTCTGCATCCCAAATTGGATCTTCAGCAATCCAAACACCCACCATCGAAGCCTCTGGAGCTTTGCCCTGCTTAAGAAGATGGACGCCCATCCGCAGCCAGTCCGAAGCCTCTTTGCCCTCAGCCGAAGCCAAGAAAGTGGACACAGACATGGGCGCTCACACAAAAGAGAGACCAACTCACTGGGAGTATTCTTTTCACATCTTTTCACTGTACGTGAGAAGACTTACAGATTGATAAAAACACTGACTGGGTCGGCAGATCTGACCAAAACAACCGACCCAAAACCACGTGGAAGGACTCGGCCATTTCCATTCCCCGAAACCTTGGAACGACTCAGCCCACGTTGCATCGCTCCCGTGGAGACCGAGGCGCCCAGGAGCTGGGTGGGGGATGCAGCTGGGAGTCCAGGGCCTCGGCCTGAGCCAGTGCCTCCTCAGAACATGGTCCATCGCCGTTGGAAAGCGAAGGGTTCGGGGAGGGGTTTGGAGGAAGTCACTCGTTCTAGAAAGCTACAGAAGGTCGGCAGAAGAGTTTCGGTTAAAAACGAGACAGGAGAGTTGGGACGTGATCCCATCTGAACTGGAAGCCAAGTCTCCTGATCCTTTCGCTCCTGTGCCCAACGCTTGGCTTTAGACAGCCATTGCCTTAGAAATTGGAAATAAAAAACAATGATCAGCAAGCAAATCAACAGGCCAAAGGCATTTTAAAGTGACTCTGAAAATGGATCTGATCCACATAGCCCAGCGCTCCAGCCCATAATGTTCCAGTCTTGATGGATGCCGTCACAGTTCATCTAGATTCAAGCTACACTAACACACTGTCTTTCTCTCTCGCTTCGTTTTCACCCGGCAAAAGTATTCGGCATTCGTGCTGTCGTCGGCCACTAGAAGAAAGCACTGGTGAGAGCATCTTAACTCTTCAGCCATGCCTGCCATGCAGCATTGAATTTTGCATTGCGGTGGCCACCGTGCTCCGTCAGGTACTTGTCTGCCTCCTTGTTGCCGTTGTACCATGCCACATCCCGAGCTGTCCACCCGCCCTTGCTAGTTTTGGGACTCTTTTCATTGACCTCCGCATTGACGTCTGCGCCGCCCGCCACCAGTAACTTCATGACTTCCAAGCGCTCTTTCCAATACTTGCTCCCTGCCCATTCGGACTCTGGGGGTGGGCAATCGACTGCAATATGCAGCGGCGTATAGCCAAACTCAGATCTGACTTCGGTGTCCCATCCGGCAGCCAAAAGGATCTGGGTCAAGTGAGGGTAGCCGATGTCAGCTGCATCAGCCAGAGCTTGGTGTTTGTAGTGGCCTGCCCTGGAGCCACCGTTGCAAGCAAGGAGCACGATTGCATCTTCGCTCTTTGCCATATCCCTTGGCGTGAAGGGTGTGGGGCCTTTCTCCGTGCACTTCGCATTGACATCCGCGCCCGCATTCACCAGGGCTTGCATGGCGCCTAAATCACCCAAGGCGGAGGACAGGTGGAGCATGTTGTAGTCCTCAAGGTCTAAATGGTCGAAAGTCTTCACCACATTGGCAAGGGGTGAGCTGTTCAACTCCTCTTCAGTGAAGGATTTCTTCAACTTGGGCAAGGTCATGCCACTCGCCGCAGCAGCCACCGGAGTAGTGTTCTTGGCATCCTGATGGATTATGCGTTGAATCTCCACCTCAGCAGTCTCACCATTGACAACACGGTGGCCACAGGCCGGAACAAGCCACAGGGCCACACAAACGACGCCAAGCACGGACATGGCGTCACAATACAGCAAACAACGGAGAACTCTGCTAAGTCGTTTTCTTGACCAAAGAGCCTCGGATGTCAAAAATTTTGCAAGACTCTCATGCAAAATCCTTCTCGAAGAATCATCAAGGATCCAACATGTCCCTCACATGTACAGTTGCCGCTGATCTTCTTCTACCCGAAACCCGAACGCTCTGAACTTCCTCCTCCTCACTGTTCAGAGTGCGCAGGGGTTGGAGGGGTTGTGATCCACAGCTACAGTTTCTTTTCCAACGCTGGAGCAGGTCAAGTGCGCTCCGCACACTGGACAGTACTCACATCACATCCCCACCCCGTTGGACACCACCAACCGAGGTTCCGGCGCAACTTCGGACGCCTCCCGCTTCTCCAGCAGCGCACCCCAGCGCGCCAGCAGCAGCGCAGCATGGGGGTTCGTCGCGTCCAGCTGCAAGGCCTCCAAGGCCAGACGTCTGGAAGCCTCTTCGGCCTCTCCAGATGGCGGAAAGACGGCGCTGGAGCCCAGAACGGCCCCGAAGTGAGGTGCTTGTGGTCAGAACCCAATGGAAAGAACCGAACAACAATGCAAGTCAAACAAGAGTCTGGGGCTGTTCATGTACATCAGCCCCGCTGGTGTCTGAAGAACGGCATTCCATGTTCTCCAGCTTGGGTCTAGACTCTAGACGTGAGCTTCCTCGACCTGACTGGTGTTTCCTGTTTCATCATCTTTGAGATGATGGGCCTTCCAAAATGACTGTGATCCTTTGGTTTCAAGGGTAGGTCAGGAAGGCCAAACACAAATTGACCGAAGAATGAAAGGGAGAAAACGATAGCACAGCTTCAGCACGAACTTCCCTCAGCACCAAAACGATGCATTAACATCACTCACTCGCTGCGGTCCCACCACAGCCAACCTGCTCCGCATTCTTCAGGCCGCTGCTCCCAGTTGAAGGAACTGTGGCAGCCTTACAGCAAGGCCAATGCAAAACAGGGAAACACCTGGCTGTGCAAAGGATAAAACCCACCCCTCTTTTAATCCACCAATGCCTTCTCACCTTCAATCTGCGTTTTGCCCGTCGGTTTTTTTGGAAAAAGGTATCTTGGCTGCCTCCAGGGCGAGGCATGCAGCGTTCAATCGGCACTGGAGCGCCAGCTCTCGCGCTGCCAACGCAGCAGGCACGGCCGCCTCATGTCTGGCCCAGAAGCGCGAAGGGTCCGTCGATAGGTGTGCCTGAAAAAGGGAGAGTCCTCCAAAACCAACACCAGTGTCCAAGACCTATCAAAATGGTTGCGGGGACGGCTTGAGACTGTTCTGTGTGTTTGGGGTCAAAAGTAACTTCACCTGAAATAAAGAGAGTTGTCTATCAATTGAAGGGCAAAATATCACCCAGCATGCAACCTCCTTTTGCGGTTGTACAGGCTCTCTCCCATCCTGGTTGCCTCGAATCGCATGCTCCACAGGGATGTTTCGGTTCTGACGAACCAGGGCAGCTATGCGCATGTCCGAGTTTGCGGGAGACGGGAGAAGGTTATTGGACCTGTCACTGGTCACAGAAAACAAGTGGTCAGTCGCTTCGCCAATCCATCTCTCAATGGCAATCTGTTCTTAATTCCTCTTAACCTCTGTTCTTATCATTCTACGAGCACCCATCACTCCACCCTCACCCGCTTCGCCCGCTTCGCCCACCTTTTCCAGCGCAGTAGACACACGAGGCTTCAGCAACGCATCGGCACGCCCGTACATCGTCACAGCCTCCCGGAGAAGCTCTTGCCGCGCGGGCAGCTCCTGCGGCAGGGTCCGTCCCGGCACACTGATGCCATCATCAGGGCAGCGGACGCCTTCACATCGGCGTCGGGTGAGACTGAGCTTCACTTACGATCAGCAGGATGTGGCCCCATGAGGTTGAAAGGGATTTGGTGAAGGACTGTGAAGGACCTTCAAAACCCTCCGAAATGACACAACTCTTCAATCTCTAGCGGCCCTGACAGCCATGTCCTTGCTGCGTGCATGATGAGCTAAGGCATTGGCCTGCGCTGGTTCTTGGAAGAACTCCACAAACAAATGTCAATACTCCACGGATGGATGCAGGTTCACACTTCCTCAGGTAGAATCAACCAAAAGGACCAAAGCATAGTTTACCCAAGAGAACATCATCCAAGCCCACAATCCTCACCACCACCCGTTCATCATCGCAAGAAAAGTTCCCGTTAAAGAAACGGTGCCTTCTAAGGCACAATCAAGCAACAATCAAAACGGGGAGGCCAAGAGGAAAGACTCGTCCACCCAAATCACCATCATGATCGAAGACAGCTCAGGAGCGATGCTTTGCATTCCATTGCATTCCCACCGCATTTCTTGGAAGCTAAATCACTATCAGGGCACCTGATTTGATAGGATGGATTCAGAAAGCATGAGTCGGAGGAAACAGCCTGATTCGGAAACTATAATTTGGAAACCATCATTCAGAAAGCAAAATGGTGTCTTAGTTTTTGAATCATTTTTTTTGTTGAATCGGAATTTGTTCGTGTGTATTTGACAGTTTGCCGGCTTCATGTCAACAGAGCTTCTCAAGAAGAAAGACCCTTAGGCCTTACGGGAAGCTAGCAGGTTTGGTGTATTTCCCCTTTTGCGGTGACTGGAAACAAAAGCATGAAGAGTGGTGACTTACTGGTGCATTCCTATTCGCTCCAAAAGGTTCCAACTTGCAGAGAAACTGAAAACCGCTTGCAGCAGCCAAGAAATTCAAGTAAAGCCAGTGACCTCGGTTGAAATACCGCTCGGACTGGCCAGTCCTGCTCGCGCAACTCGGAGGCTTCTGCAAAGGCCGCTTGACCTTCCTCATCCAAGTCAGGATCGTCCTGGAGTCTGCAGAACTCGGTGAAGGTATCCAGTAGTAGTCGTTTCAGAACGAGATTCTTGCCAATTGACTTATGAATCAACCCCACCTTGTTGTGCCAAACGCCTTGTCCCCTTTTCTGAATCAATCGTTGGCTCTTCCGCCCTGCTCCCCTGCTCCGTGCCGTGTGCCTCAAGGAAGTCCCACTTCGTGCAGCGTGCCATGGAAGGCTCCGGAGGTGTCGGCGTGACCGGTGGGACCGGTGACAGGTCACCGGTGGGGAGCTAAGCTTGGGGCGATCCCAAGAACCCAGGGCCCAGATGGGCCCAGATGGGCCCAGTGGGCCTCAGCCGACCCTGGTAGAACTCGTGATCACCAACTGTTAACTGGTAATGGGACACACCCTAGACTACGTGTAGATGGCGAAGCATATAGTTCATGTCTGGGAGTTGAAGATGGTTGTTGATCAAGTCTTAGATCCGATGTGTTTGATCTTCGACAACCAACTTCCACCCTGTTGGAGGGCTCCAAAATGCGTGAGGATCCAAGCAGTGCTTGAAAGTTCCAAATGCTTTGAGCTCTCTTCCGTTGAATCGGCGATTCATCGGGGTCCTGGACCGAAGCTGCAGTCGGGGGAACTCACTTCCAATGCATCAATGCATCAAAAACATCTTTGCAAAGCGAGGATTTGAGGCTTCAGAGCTGCATGGGTTCATGAGCTTTTCCAGCGACACGTGCCAACTAGATCTTCCTGCGAGGCACGGAAAGAAGGAATCGATATGTCTGACCCACACCACCAGCCCAAGTTGTTTGCCCATTTGCAAGGCTCAAGCCATGAACATATCAAAACCAAGTTAGCAGGCCTCTCTGGGTGGCCGAAGCTCATTGGTCCATTTCCATTCTTCCAGCTTCTCTAAATACTCAAAATAATCGTCCCCCCTCTAGTAACCTACAAATCAACCCGCGGTTCACCATGCCGTCGAAATCGCCGGGCGCCCGGAGCCCTCGGTCTCTTTTTGGGGCTCGGTCTCCAGCGCCGTTGCTTCACAACCCGGCACCACCTCACGACCTGGCCGCGGCAACAACGGCGCGTGGTAACCGAGCTCTGGTGAGCAGCTCTGGGAAGAACCCAAACAAGGAACGACAGCCAAAACCTGGTAGAACAAAATCCTTTAATTATACTAGTTGAAAGTCGTGACACCCACAAGTGAAAAAGCGCAAAAGGTGACGTGTCCTTTATTCTAGCGGCTGAGAATCCCCACTAAACCATGCATTGCTGGTTCTGGCCACTGTTCAAATGATCTGACCACGCCTCGTTTGAACCCTGTACTTCAGAATTGAAAGTACAGCATTGCACCACAGCTTGAGTCAATTCTCGTGCCTCAAGCGGATGCCATCTCCCAAGGGTGCAAAGTCGGTCTCATCTTCACGCCCTTAGATCGGCGACAAGCATGATCCACATCATTAGGGGTGGTCCAAGACTCGGAAAATACTACTCCAGCACCTGTCACCTTTAAATAAACAGAAAATGATCAATGGGGAAGGAAGGAACCCTATTTCTGGCCAGGTGGCGCTAACACGTCACGTTCTGCTTGGGGGGAAGGGACTTCAAAAGAGGAGGGACAAATACTTGGGAAACATCTTTTCCATATGTTCCATGCTCCTGACTGGGCAGTCATCAAGTGGCCCGCTCTGGAAACATTTCCGCTTGGAGATCACTTGGTGGAAACAGCAACTGATCCGCCCACCCACCAAGAAACTGATCCCTCTAGAAACATTCAAGCTCTTCTGCGCGATAGGAAGTTCAGGTCAGCTTTTCTCCTCTCCAGGTCTCTTGAAAAGTGAGAAGCTGAGAAGCTGATACGCCCGGCTCGAAACTTGGTGGCGATAAATCAAACAGCTGCAGGTTCGCTCCCGAGAAAACACCAGTGCTGACAGCCAATCAATTGCTTGAAACATGGTGTCCTCCGAAAAGCCACATCCACCATGTGAGTTTGACTTTTTTTGCCAAGACCGGGGCGGGGTAGGCCGCTATAGTAGAGGTGAGGTAGGTTAGCTAGGTAGGTAGCTAGTAGTAGCTACTACCTCGGAAGCAGGACAGCTCACGCTTCTTCAAGGAAGCTCCCCGCGCCGCCCTAAAGGCGGCGGGGGGAGCTTCCCCGAAGAAGCGCTCGCACTATTCATTTGGTTCCTAGATTTTTAGGGAAACTTAACTAATAGCGATTGCCTCTTTCCTCCATACTGGAAAACCAAAGATCAGTGATAGTGAGGGGTGGCATGCCAAGAATCTCCGCTCCCAGTCTGGTTCATCTTGGACACCAGACTTGCTACCTATGCTGCACCCCGGTGTCATCCCTCAGCATACTTGACCTACTAGGTCCTACTAGTTCCACGTTTGGAAGGTGCGCAGATGTGCCCGTAGACGTAGTTCTAACTTCTGTGTTGCTTTAGCTAATGGTAGGAGGGTGGCCTGAGATGTTTGCAAAAGTAAAACCCCAGAACAAGCAGCACCATTTTATGCAAATGCAATGATGTGCCACAGCTAAGACTAAGGTATATAAGTTCTGGAATAAAATTTCAGATGTTGTTCTCAGATGAGGGGAGAAATCGACGCCAAAAAAAGTGCCAAAGAAAGCATAGTTCCTTCACCCAGAAAGCTGTCAGTCCAGTAAGATCACGTTGGTCGATTGCACTCGGACTTGGTCGATTGCCTCTCAAATCTTTGCCCTCGTTCCTCTTCCGTTTTGGGTCTGCTACAACGGTCGGACAAGACCAAACGGGTCCACGTCACCCGGTCACCGAGACGTCACCGGGCCAGGGTATATCATCAAGGCCTAGTGTCTGATCAAAAGATCGCTGGTGAAGGAGCCCTGGCTGTGCCTGGAAGAAGTGTCATTGCTTTTTTTACCGCCATGCATTGCTGATAGATGAATCTATCATCTCTAGAGGCAGACTGCTCATGAGTTTCTCTCTCCCTTGCCCAGATGGATATTGTATAAGAATCTCTGCGGACGGTTGCCACCCAGCTCTGCCCCAGATCACAAGCCTTCTTGGGCCCCGGCCAGCCAATCATCATGGATTCGGGGAACGGTCCCTGCTCATCCCCATTGTTGTCTTGGTAGTACCACTGACCTCAGAGGCGAAGGATCCCTGAAATACTCATGGGCCAACGTGGATGGCATGGCCCTTTGGATGACCCTTTTTCGCTACAAAGAGGTGGCAAAATCGAAGGGCTACTAGTAGCAAGGGCATCGCTACAGCCACTAGTAGCTCCTTCTTACTAGTAGTATATAATGCCCTTGTTACTAGTAGCGATGCACTTGCTACTAGTAGCAAGAAGCTACTAGCTCCCTGAGCGATACGACACACAAATGCAACATAGGCCTCCCTTTTCGACGCGCGCAAAGCTAGGTCTTCTGGTTTCGTCCTTCACTCATCCGCCGCCGCGGCAGTCACATCTGCCGTCAGAGTGTTCACTGCATCGTCTGCCTCTGGACGCATCATCTCAACTCCCACATCATCACCACCGTCACCGTGCAGCTCCATGAGCTTGGTGATGTCGAACTTGGGCTTTTTCAAGATCTTCACCTGGCAACGTGGTCAAAAGCAGCTTGGGGATTCCTTAGACAGTTTTTGGTTTTGTTGCTTTTCGCATATTGTTTGCCAAAAAAATTGGACTTGTGAGCATGAGACTCAACCTTCTTGGTTCGGCTCCCCCACCTTGCGGATCAGCACATCCTTCAAGGGAAAGATGCCTTGGGCCTGCTTCTCAATCTCCTTGCCGATGGACTCAGGGATGAGCTTCTTGACCAACTCCCTCAGCTGGACCTTCGAGGCCTCCTGCTGCATCACCTCCACCATCTTCCGACGAATCTTGCCTCGGCCAGGAATCAGAGGATGGGTCAGGTCAGAGGAATCCGAACTGATGGAGATCGGAGATCTGATGATATCTGGCTTGTTTGATGGTGATGCACATGTACGCTTTGCCAACATGTTGCGTGGGGTCCCTATATGGAGTTATCTGGGAGTCTATACCTGAGGCATGAAAACGAGTTCGGAAAGGATCTTTATTAGTGTAAGCTCAACTCAGAGACCAAGCTACTCTTGACCACCCCTCGCGTGTTTTTGCGGAAGCCGCTGATGTGAAACAAACCCTTTGACTCCTGAGTAGATCGGCCAAAGACAAATCCATACAAATCCGGGCCGAGATCTGACTTCCCATCTGAAAAAACGGTTCTTCTTCGAACTCAACAGCTCTTGGGAGCACCAGCCCAGCCACGGATCTGTGCCGACTGGGCGTAGCAGTTGGCCCTCACCTGATCTGGGCGGCGCTTGGTAAAGGCGATGCAGAACATTCGCACCACGTAGCCATCAGTGGTCTTCACGTCCACATGGGCCTCGCTGGTGCAACACGGCTGTGCAAGACGTATTTTTAGACTAAAGACCAAGCCAAACACTTGAAGTAGGAGTCAAGAACTCGCAGGACACAACAAAAAGGAGATCAAAGAGATGATCTTCAAAAATATGGCTCAAAACAAACAAAAGAACCAAATGTTCTGTCAAAAAGAGTTGAAGTCTCTGGACGTGATGAACCGGACCCTTGCAGACTGAGCACTGCAAGGGATGGGCTCTTGCCAGATGGTCCGGTAATGATGGACTACACACACATCTCTGTACGCACAAACAACTACACATGATGGCCCTATCAATTTGACAGATGGTTTCCTGGAGCACATGGGAATTTGAGAGAAGAATTATAGAGGTGAGCCCCGCAGGGCCATTTTTTTGCAGGTCAGGCTGGCTCCTGCCCCTCTTCGGATCTGTCTCTTCCTCAAAGCACTGAATCCTTCACCCATCCTCATCCCACGAATCACGAAGACCACCGAACCACGAAGAATCCCCATCACGTTGCCTCAATGAGGGTCTGCCATTTCTTGATCAACGAGCAAATCTTGTCGCGGGTCAGCGTCATTCCATGGAAGTCGGTGAGGCAGCTTCGGCCCTGCACCTGGTCGTGCTGGGGAGAAAAAACGTGGGGTGCTTCGGGCGCTTGGTGATTTCCAAGGGTCTGGAGTTTGGGTGGCCGCTTGGGATTAAATCTGGTGAAATAATATATATATATATAAACACAACGTCTCAATATCCCCATTCCATGGAAGTCTTGAAGTATCCGCTCCTCCTCGATGCACAGGCGAATCTTCTTGGACGCTTGGTCCTCATCGTTGTTCAAGTCGGCCAAGTTCACCTGGCGTTAGGGCAACCAGCCACTAGCTTGCTTCGAAGCACAACTTCCGGTTCTGATCACTAGAACCAGATTGGATCTGTCTAGATGAAAGAACCAAGGCCTACCCAGCTAAAACCCTACAATTACAAATTATATACAATGCAATTCCATGCAAAAAAATAAGAAAATCGGTGTTGCAGAGAAGCCCAGCCCCTTTCCTTTTGTTTCACCAAAAAGAAAGGATTTGCATGGACAATTGAAGAAGAAAATGGGAGTTGTCATGGTGAACTACAATCCTCTACAGTAAAGAACCCTCCTTTCCAATTTGAGGTCCATTTTGTCGCTCCCGGCAGAGGGCCCGAGGGCCTCCAAGACTCGGCCCTTCAGCTCCTCTGTGGCGATCTTCGTGCCTGAAGAGCGAGAGCATCAAAAGGGGAGGACCACAAGAGGAGTGTAGAAGGACATGCTTTATCTGCAAAAAGACCCCAAGCAAAACATCAATAGGCCTTGGGGGATTGCTTATAAAGTTGCTTAAACGACTACTCTTCCTCTTTTTCTTAAGAAATCCACCGACACCACTGACGCCGACCGGAGTTGGTGACAACTCTGTTCTGTTTCTGGAGGCCATAAGTCTGTCCAACACCCAGCTGATCATAAATTTACCCTGCTGCTTTGCTCTAGGCGTCTTAACTCGCTATGGTAAGCTTGGGATCTTGAATATGTTTCTTGGTGAAAGGTTGGAAGGTAGTGAATGTCCTGCCATGTTCAACACAGTATGGTTTGTTCCAACCTATCTTTCATCTGAGGATCAATATCCCCCTTCCCTTTCTTTTTCGAGCGCGGACCCGCGCCTTGGGTTCGAGAGACCAATGTCTTCCCACATTGGCGCACCGAGAACATGCTGGGAGCCTCCAGCGAAGGACTCTGGGAGTTGGGCGAGGGCCCAGTGGAAGTTGAAAGCACCGTGACCAGCAAAAGTAGTAAGGATACTACTAAGAAGATGTGTCCTACTCACGTCGTGCGTGAACTTTTTCCTTGAATGAATGAAATCAGACTATTGGCTATGATTGTGGATGATGAATTATTGAAGGCTGGCGGCTGGATAGTGCAATATGTTGTTTGATAAACAATACATGCCTGTTTACCCTGCTTTGCTTGACCCAAGCCGCTGCCTTGATGTCATACCACTCCTTTCTCAGGAAGGGGTCACCGGCCTGGCGCTTTCGCAGCGATTGGGTCATGGCACCAGGAGGCCGGTTGACTACCTGGGAGGTCGTTTCGCCACATAGTGGACTGGTCGGGCTCCAGGTTGAACGACCCCGTTATGTGTTCATCGTCTTGCAACTACCCCTTCGGCCCGGCCTTCTTCTTGCCACCCTTCTTCCCTCCCTTGGTAAGGCGCTTGTTCTTGCCGACTGCCATGCTCACTATTCACCTAAATCTGCGCGCGGCTTGAGCCTGTGCAAGGAGGGTAGAACTGCATGCCCCGTTGCTCAACAACTGGTCCACCAGAGGCCATCGCTGCTAGGTTGGAGGCCATCCCTACTAGGGTAGAGGCCATCGCTTCTAGGGTGGAGGTCATTGCTATTAGGCTTTCCTACCTCTCTCCTCCATCACGCTCTTGTCCCACTTTCCTTCCATGTGATGCTGATTCTCGTGTCACTGAGAATGTCACGCTGTGGCTTCTCCGGAGTCGACTCAGCGGCAGGTGACCCAGCCTCGACTGCGTGGAGCATCCTTCGCTGTCTGCGTTCGCTGCTATTCTCTGAGATTTCTGCCGAGTAAGTTGCAGCTCCTCGCCAGTTGCATCCACATGACTCAAATGATTTCATAACAAGAGATGGGAATATGACCAGGTGAGGGGCTGAGTCGGAAAAACAAAAAAGTCACCTCCACTTTTGAGACGTTGTGACCTAAACTCCGATTTTCAGTATCATCACCCTGGCTAGGTCACCCTTCCACTGGGATACCTGGCGGACAAATCCGCGGAAGAAAAAATCTACCTTGTTAACTCTGAAGTAAAACCGTAAGGACGATGGTCAGTATTGGTTGATGGATGATGATGGCTGAGTAGCCCACTGACGATGGATGATGGTCAGTGTTGACTGCCTGTACCAACAGTTGGAGATGCCAACACTGGTCCTCCTTGAGGCAGTTCCGGCATTGTGGCCGGCATCGCAGGGCCGGGCATGGGCGCTTTGGTCATTTCTGGCATGGCCTCCTGCGCTCAAGGAGAGAGCTGAGACCTCAGCCTTGACCCGCACCGAGCAGTGCGGTTCACGAATTGGAATTCGGATTCCCATGGCCTCTGGTGGAACCGGCTTGGATGGCGTCATCCAACCCTAGATCTAGACCTTTAAAGACTTCCTCAGGTCCTCGAAAAGAAGGTGCATGCAATCCATTCGATGACTCCGCTGGACATTTTCGCCCTGAAACAAAATGTCGGCCTCATAGGCTGCAACATCATCTTCATCCTGCCACTGGCGTTTTCTACGGCCATGGAAAACGCCATCGAACTGTGGCTCCAAAACACAGTAGCCAAATCAGGAAATATGATGAAATATGATGCTCACTCGGCTTACCCGCTGGCCCTATCTTTCGCCGGAATGCGGTATCGACTTCAGGTCAGAGTTCTATATCCAGTTTCTCGGTGGAGACTATGTATTGCAAAAGAAGAAAAAAAGACAAAAAAAGCATCTCATCGCGGCAACAATGAATGATGCTTTTCATGTGAATGAGCGCAGTGCCTTGGATTCAGCATCTAACCCCATGTCCACCAACCCAAGTTACGCTCACAAAGTCTCATGCCCTTACCACATCAGGATGACTTGACCCCATCAGCCACCCTCCTCATTTGCCTCTTTTTCGGTCACCGCAGGGAATTGGGCGCATAAAAACCCTCACGTCACCCAAGACCAGCCCATCCTTAGCCCATCCGACCTAATTCCACACCTTTTTGGGGTTGGGACACGAAAGCCCCATCAAAACACTGCCAAAAACCAAGGGCGCGGAACCCATGGACCGAGCCTGGCTCGGATTCTCACCCCATCACCGGAGACCGCTTCGTCTTGCTCCGCTCCTCGGACTTCTCCGAGTCCGTGATGAACTGGCTCGGGTCGTCCGGATCCACCTGGTGCACGGGGTCGGGACCGGAGTCGAACGGAGGAACTGAATCGGTGCACGAACGGCGGGTGCAGAGAGGGTGAAGAGGTCGGAGAAAAGGATGCGAAGCGATACAGTACAGTTCAAGCATGTTGCAGTTCAGAGGTTCCTCTGGGAAGATGGGTGTTGATGACCCCAAGGAAAGTTCATGGATGACCTCTGGACTGCTTCTCAGTCTGTTAACCTACTCAGGACACTCAGGAGGCAGGGATCCTCCTCAAATCAACACGCTCAATAGTGGGGATCCCATTGAGGTGGAGCGACTCATCTCTCACCTCCGGCCACATCGATTTCAGGCTGAAGCCCAGCCAAACGCACACCTCGCAGCAAAAGGTTGGATCAAGAATGACACCTCTGGAGAACCTGAGAAAGTAGATGGGCATGTCTCCAAAAAGAGGTGAAGAAGCCACAAACAGCTTTTGGAAAGAAACCAAATAAAGCACTTCGTGAATCTTCGTGATCTCTTTCCACTTGGCAGCGGCTGCGTTGTAAAGCCGGGGATCGTGTCCTCTCGGTGTCGTGCCTCTCCGGCCGATTCTGGTCTCACTGAGAGAAGGACCAGCTGACCCAGACCACCCACACAAGCCAGGAAGAAGGCGGCCCTGGACATCGGAAGACGAAGTCGATGTCTTATGGCGACTGGTGACTGTCACTTGACATTGAAACATGGAGTTGGGCCCAGTTTAGACCGTCTGACCCATGAAAAAATGCTGAGGTTCCTGGCCCAGGCGTTGGGATCGGATACCAGGACTCTTCATCCAGCTGATCGAAGATGCCCTCTGTGACGATAATCCAGAAGACTGAACCACCCAAATGGAGCATAGCAGCCACCTGAGTCAGTCACCATTCTGGACGTGCGTCCTCCTCCATGTCTCCCCGTTCGAACGATGCCTTTCAGCTTCAAATCGGACATCGGACCGTTGGACTCCCACCGCGCTTCGTTCCGGTGGACGACGAACGGACCACCGAACGAACCCCATACCTCCGGCCCTGAGTGCAGCACCGGCCACCAGGTGGAGGCCCATCTTAAGGATCGGCCTGTCAAGAAGCAGGTCCAAATCAGGCAGAGCCTCAGCGAAACGAAAACCCCTCGGTCACCGTCCTCGGTCAGTCCAGCAGGTCTTCCACGTGGAGGAAACGAAGCAAAGGTCGAGGTCGAGAGCACACGGCCACAGTTGGGTGTGGGTATGCTGCTGGAGTTCTGGTCCAATGTCTAAAGAGTTACTTCGAAAAACCGTGGTCAATGTCACCAACGTGAGAGGAACTTCAGACTGTATATGCCAATGATTGAACCAACGAAAAGGAGCAAGTATCTATCGGACTCAGACGCCTCCTTTTCCAACCGATGCAAAACTCCTCATCCGAGGTTCACTAAACTCCTCACTACCAGGTTTAAGATGGTTTAACAGGTTTGAGGAATCCAATGCACCAACTCATCCAGCTCAGTCTCCCAGCACATGGACAATGAATCCCAGGACAATCACAAACGCAGCACCTGGGAGAGCCAAGCAGCTGGCGATGTCTGAAGGGAAAGCCAAGACCACGCATGAGCTGGTTGGCTTCCTAGTCCTAATTTCAATCCAAGCCGCTGTAGCTGTAAATGCAGAAGTCGAAGTATGTGTTGCATTTGAGCAAGTACCTCGCATCAGGCATGGCGCATTGGTTTTTAGATGCAGCCATGAAGTTCCTGTCATGCCCTCCCAGCCACCGCTCACCATTTGCAAATCGGAGAAAGACAGGCATTGCCCAAGAGCAAGTGGCCGTACCATTTACCTGTCAGAAGGGCAACCAAGGAAGCCTTCCGAAGGAACATCTTTTGCTTTCTCATCTGCGAGGAACAATAGCGTTTTGGACGCAAAAGGCTGATATGTTTGATGTCCAGTTGCAGTTGTCCTCAAACATCGTGTGGTGAAATTGCATCCTGAGCTGTCCAGAACAGAGCGGAGTGAGTGCAGAACACAGAACCAAACATGGCAGAAAATCAGAAACTACACTCCCTGGAATGGCCCTGGAATAATCATGGAAGTGAAAAACCACTTGTTTGTAGAGGAAAACGACTAATTCAACATAACATGACTTTGCTTGAGGTCAGAACTTTCGCCCTTGAACTGCAAGCAAGCCCCAATGCCTGCTGACGCAGCAACTTCAAACAGCTTTCCACCAGTTTCCGCCATGCAACGTTCCGCCTTCTTCCACCATACCCAATCAAAGCCACCTCAGACTGGCTGCAGGACCGACATGTCAGAAGAAACCAGCGAGTGTGTGTGTGTGTGTGTGCTGCCGTTTTGCTTCACATCTCTGGGTGTGTGGCCCAACTGGTCCTCCAGTGCGGCATGGCAATCGCCATGGCATTGAAGACCCTGCAATCGCAGTCCAAGTGAGCAAGATGTGTTCTCACACTGCCTGTTCGGAATTGTCTTGGAGTTCGGGGAAACATAGGAAAAGATTTACGAAGAGCTCTCTAAGGTCTCTAAGCCACAGCAGTAGTGTGAACTGGATGTTTCACCCAACAAACCTCAGTATCTCAGAGATCCAGAACATCTGTGCTTCTTAAGTGTCTTAAGTGTTCCACCATCGACTCTTTCTTCCATCTATGCTTCCCATCCACTCAGCCGGCAATCCTCCCAGCACCGGTGCCGATCTTTCTTCCCATTTCTTGGCGTCCCAACAGCGCAATGGATGCCACTGTGATGGCGGTCTTGGACGCTTTGGTGTGCACGGTGCGGCCTTCTTTGCGCCTCTCCTGTGCACGGTCGGTCCCGGAGCCATCCATGGGATCTGTAGGGATGGGAGTGCCACCATATGTGGGGGGAAGGCACCAGGCCACACGCGAAAACAAGATGAAGTACACAGAAAGCCCCGAAGAGGAGTCCGTTCATTCGGATCTTTATATATCAGGGTTTGACCAACCAATGTGTATTTGTCGAACCAATGGAGGGGATGACCACCACTCCATGGGTCAGTCTTTATCGACTTTTCGCCTTGCCACGTGTTGTCGAACCGGATTGCTCAACTGGAGGACATTCCAGCCATGTTTTTTGCATCGGAGAATCTGGCTGTGTACCCCAAATACCGTTGTGCATCAGGAATATGTCACAGGTCTATGCCCACTTGTGGCATCCTGAATCCCACTCCTGTCACCCCACTGGCCTTGTAGGTGTTGGCCTTCCGGCGTTTGAGCAGCTCCTCGTGAAATGATGCGCCCTTGGTCGGTGAATGAGACAGTGCGTCGATCGGTTTAAAATGTGAGGTCTTCTCTCCAAGCAAGGCAAGTGTGCAAGGTGATGCAGACAGAACTGCCACTGCCAGAGATGAGTCCAGTGCTCCAGGATACATGGCCAAACCTGCAAACAAAGAAAAGAGAGGTCTCTTTAGCCAAAACTTCAGAAAACATTGCAGAACTGGTCCTTTCATACACCTTCGTCTCAAGCTCAATCCAAGAATAGTTCAAGGCAAATCAAATCCTTTCCTTTTTGATCCGACAGGAACTCTTGCCAAAGGGTGCGATGGTACTCGCGGAACGAAATGTCAAACAGGAACGCCCATCTGGCTCTCAGAGTCGTGCGGTTTTGGGGAAGACACGCATGGCCTGCTTGACTGTCAAGTCAGCCATGATTTCCTCACTGCCTCCATAGACTGCAGCATATTTTGCAAAGTTTTTTAAACCCTCCACTTTTGATCCCATGCCTGTATGCGTGACACCTCGGCCACCCAGAATTTGCACGGTGTCATCCGCCACTTTCCACGCGGTTCGGGTGGCTTGGAACTTGAGCATGGCAATGGGCCCTGAAAGGCGTTCACTCACGGGGCCATGCTTGTTCATGTCATAGGTGAGCACCTCACTGAAACTCTGCACACTCTCCATGGCAGCCAACGAGGATGCAAGCTTGTTTCGGATCACTGCCTGGTCCATGAGAGGCTTGCCGAAGACCTTGCGCTGCCGAGCCCACATGAAGGCATCGGTGAGAGCAGCACGCATTTGGCCCAAAAGGTTTTGGACAATGAACCAACGTTCATGGTTGAAGTTGTACATGATGAGCTTGAAGCCCTCGTTCTCTTTGCCCATCAAGTTCTCAACAGGCACCAGAACGTCGTCGAGCACGATAAGGGCAGTTCCAGCGCATTTCGAGTAGGTGGTTTTCATCTGGCTGGTGGTGACTCCATCACCACGCTCAATAAGAAGCAAAGAGATACCTAAGCATGACTGACAATGCCAAAAAACCAGCATATATGAATCTGTCAAACTCCATCAGACAAAGGTGGATCAAACTCCACAAAATACTCCCCAGAAAGCCCCCCCCCAAGACCTCCGTGCTTCCTACAACATCAGCTGATGTCGTCCAGCCCACCGTCCAACCCGCCTTTGCCACCGGGCCCTCCGGTGCGGACGGCGGTGACGAAGTAGTCCGAGTAGGCGCCTTCCGTGATCCACTTCTTCACGCCATTCACCTGGGAACGAAGTCAGAAGGCGGTTTGAACTGGGACACGAACTTTTTGGAGCGGGAAGGGTGGTGAATCTCGGCCACAAATCGATCACCTTGACCCCTGAGCGATCCATTCTCGGAAGAGCTTTCAACCAATATCAATGAATTTAATGATACTGTATAGATTGGATAGTTTATTTTTAGTATATATCAAATTTAGTTCTCAGTGATTCAGTAGAAGCTCGTGTCATGATGTGTCTTCTGCACGTGAAAAATACCAACAAAACAAATACATAAGAAAATGCAAAATCATTCCTTAGGTCGAAAAGCCGCCCACGAATACCAAAAGAAAAACCAACAACAACCCAGTAGCTTCTTGTTCCTAGTAGTAAGTAATGGCCTCCAACCTGATAGCGATGGCCTCCACCTAGTAGCTTCTTGTTACTAGCCAGCCAAACAAAACCTGCAGCCCGTCCTCATCTGCCAAGCCACCAGGAAGTGCTTCCCATCGGCGGTGCGCGTCGCAGTCGCCTTGATCTGTGCCACATCGCTACCGGCGAAGGGCTCGCTGATGGCCAGAGCGCTCCTGGTCAACCAGGATTCCAACATTCTGTGTTTCCGAAGGGAGCGTCGTGTTCCCTGGATGTTTTCCAACTTTCTTAGCTAGATGGAATGAAGTTTGAAGAGATGCTGGCAGGCGATTCAATCGATCTATATATTTTTTTGGTAGTCACATCTGCTTGAACTTCTGAAGTAGCAAAAAAACAACTTAAATTCCACTATCGTTCTGCCCGGCCCATCCCGGCCCCCGTTTAGGGGCCACCCGTTCATCGCCGGAGGTCCACTTCTCTCCACGCAGGAGCTGTGGGCACACCTTGCGCTTGGTGGGCTCTGAGCCAAAGTGGTAGACCCTTGGCGCGATGGATCAGTTATCAACTCAGGAAGATCAACTCTAACAACGATGGCATGCTGGAAAGGAAAGAACGCAGCAAAGTGGAAACGGGTACCAACCAGAGCATAAAAGCGCGAGCTTGGAGGAATCTGCAGAAGTTGTGGTTTTGGAGATGCAAAATCGACTCTCGATTCACTTCTCCCAACTTCTTGCGACGAACACTAAGCACTGACAAGCTTCGCTGGTGCAGAGATGAGATAGCCAGCACCAAGGCCATCAACGAAGCCCGGCAGCCCAATCCGAGCAATTTCTTGATGTGCAATCGATTCCTCGGTGAGCTGCTTCCAGGTCAGTAAACTGAGAATCGAACGAAACACCTTGTTGTCACCTCCAAACACCAAGTGCTTGTCATCCAGAATTGTAGAGAAGTGCAGCTCATTTCATTGCTGCCTGTGGAAGAAATCAAGATGGGTGTGGAAGAACGAAAGACCTCATTCC